GAACAGACTGGATCATACTCATGTACCAGGCCCGACGGGCATTGAGTGAAAGGCACCGTCCATGGCGCCAGAGCTGCCCGATTGTAGTAGCAGTCTTGGCAATAACGTCCACTTGGGGCTTCCAGGACAGTTGGTCATCAAGCATGATTTGAATCCTTATTTTTTCTCTACACTATTTCTTCATATTTTCATCGTTTTATTGCACATTGTCGCCACCGTTTTACATTGCATGAATAAAGTGTGCACAAATATCGATTCAGCTTGTTATATTGATTGCGGTTATCAAATTTATTGTCTCCTCGCCATTTGTTTAATTTTTAAATTATTACATGTATAATAAACTATAATTACATGTATATGTATATGCCTTGGCTTGTGGCATGTTGTGGCGCATGAATCACGGAGTGCATGCAGTCATGTATACGTTAATGTCAATAATAAGTAATAGTACAGTCATGTAAGTATTGATAATAATAAAATTATTATTGTATGTATGTAGTGACTCTGTCAGCTGTACTAGTACTACTGTCAGACTGTCACTGCCTAGCATGCCTGTACTAGCTGTAGCTGTCAGTAGATCTCTGTGCGCGGCATGGCACTGCTTGGGCTTGTGCAGTGTCATGTTGTTGTCAGCGTATTTTTAAAAATGCGCGCATAAACACACACACACACACACACACACACACACACACACACGTGTACACACACACATACCTGTCCTGTCCTGTCCTGTTGAGCCACTGCCATGAAGGTTACGTGGGCCCCGGAGGGGCAGCTGAGAGAGAGGAGGAGCACACAGCCCTGTGACGATCCAGGTGATGCGGTAAGCGAAATCGGCGGGAGCTGGCGCAGACACACGTGAAACCCTGACGGTCCTAACGGTCGGACGACTACAAGTCCGCGAGCAGCGATGACGGGCGCGGCCACGTGTAGACGCAAAGCAGCGGTCACAAGCCTGGCAGTGAGCGACGCAGCACAGCGGAGAAGCAGGCAGCGGCAGGGGCGCACCGACTGCTGACTGGGGGTAAGTACACTTGTGCCTTGCCAGACCTCCACGGGACTTCAGCCAACGGCCACACTCTCCACACTGGCATGCACCTTTCTGCTCCGCAACCGGCTTCGCACGCTCAGCCTAACACTTGTGGCGTGCGCGATCACTGGGGCGTGTAAACTGTCGGTCGCAGGTGTAGCAGGTGACGGGAGGGGTATGCTGGGCATCTACCGGTGCTGAGTACGCCGAGCGCCAGGTGGAACGCGACTCGCATTCAGCTCGCCATTCCCCTCGAGGCCGCGAGAACGAAGGTCAGACATGATACAATCCTTCCAGCGCCGACGAGGGCCATGAGCTGGGCGACGCGACGGAAGCGTGCCAAAGAGAACTTGCTTCGGCAGCCGGTGGTCCTCCATCCGAGCAACATGCCCGAGCCATTCAAGGCGGCACACACATACACACACACACACACACACACACACACACACATACACACACACACACACACACATGTTTTGCATTCCACTGTACTATCACTTATCAGGTAGATCTACACGTGCCGTGGCACATGTGTTTTATTCGCGCGCTTTTCTTGCATGCAGGATCTGCAAAGGCCACACACTGCACACCAAAACAGCCGAGATCTCCACCACTCCGATCCAGAGTCCGGCCAGACTGACCAGATCAGAGTCCATGATCCAGATCAGCCGAGTCGTAGATCTACTTGTACAGTCCGTGCGCCAAGGGGTACTCAAGGGCTGATTTTATTTGCAACCGCGGGAAACGAAGTCACCAAGACGCCTTCATTTGAGGCTTTTGGAATTGGAGAATTTATTGAATTTAGGTATGGCTCTCGTCCCTTCTAGAGAACTAACCGAGACCCTGTGGGGGCAGAAGGAGACTTCTTTGGCTCCGTGAATACACTAGCTATGCGGTGGTCTAGTTAGTTTGAGTGTGTGGTTCGTATTCAAAGTGTTCCAAGCCGCAGTTCACTCGAAGGTCATCGTGGATACGTCTGCACTTGAAAATCAAGGCTGGAAAGGACTGCCTGGTGTGTCCGAACGGTATGTTTTGCACTGAAGGCGTTTTTTGTATGAATTGTTGAAAGTGTCTACTTGTTCGAAATGCAAAAGACATGGTCGTAGATCCTTGGCCCACAACACCCCACTAAATAAACTATGACCTGTCGTGAAATTATGTGAAATTGATCAACACAATCATCCACAAATTATCCTATGCCAAAGTACTGCAAATGCAAATAATGGCATCCCTTTACCTAGGTCATGTTTGTAGGGCCTTATGCCACATCTTTGCATGATTTCTTCATGCAAATCTTGTGCCTAGCTTCGAAAACACATTGCGCTAAGGGCCGAATATATACCTGTGAATCAGAACAACAGCACTCACTATTGCTTTCATGAGTGGTAATGGTCAGCTGAAAGGAAACTTCTATCCATCAACTCATAAGTAAAGTAATGACTAATCCCCTTGCTGCGCATGTGGTTCCTTCGTATTTACATGTACCGTAAAGTACCGCCAGAGCGCCCCACCATCTCGTCCTTTCGGGGTCGTATTGTGGAGGTGGTCTCCTGTCTGTAGGTTATACGACACGAACTTTGTACACATATTGCACGTTCTGCAGACAATCCGTACCTTGGAGCGGACACGAGCTTCACACCAAAACCTGCTTAGTGTGACCTTAGTACACTAAGTTGGTCACGCCGTACGAACTTCGTTGCACTCTGCCATACGATTTTCCTTTCCCTGGCTGTAAAATCTGTCGCGGCAAAATCAAGGTGGGGCGCTCTCGAGGTACTTTACGGTATGTGCGCCTCTCTGTGTTCGGTGAATGATTTTGAATATTTGCGCACGACTTCAGGATAGTGCACATTGTGTGGATGTACCTGCGTATGTAATCCTTTCATGATTTAAAAATCAGGAGCCGTGCTTCTCATCACCGTGGACAAGACAATTACGTAGCGTTTGGAGACTTGCACAAGTACAGTTGCGTGTCAATTATGCGGCAACCGCGAAATAAAATATTCTGGACGACTGAAGCTACAAAGCCATCTTGTGTTAACAGATCAAAAAGACAGTACTTCGAAGTACCTGTATTTATCACTAGTATTTAACTTATACAATTGTGAGAAAAGTTCAGAAACCACACTTACACATACACGCGCACACCATTGGACCATTCTTCTTTAACGCCCATCGCCAGAGGCGATGATAGCGATGCTACAGCAGAAGCCATAGCAACACAAACACACACACACACATGCGCGCACACACACACACACCTGTCCTGTTCTGTTGAGCCATTACCACAACTTGGCACAAGGATCGCATCGGCCCCAAAGGGGCAGTAGAGCGAAAGTGAGAGGTGTTGGCTTCAAGTTCACCTATCTTTACGGTGAACGCAACCTTGTTCGAAAGTCATGCCAAACGGATTTATCTACCACGCGTGCGCGTATACAAAACGGAGGAAGGATTACTTACTCTCCCTGTATGATGTATCTGTTGTATTCGTGAACAATGTCATTGATGTTTTTCCATGCATGTTTTTGAATATGCGAGCATAACTTCCAACATCAAGCACATTCTTGCTTCTCATCAGCATGTACAAGTTTATGTTGGGCAGTTATGTAGCGTTTGTTTTACCGGCTGCGTTTGTTGGTTCTTGCAGGTCATTGGCATGCTGTCTGTTTCACAGAAGCTCGTGTAACAGGTTCACCGTACAGCTATGAATGCAATGTAGCGTGTCGAAGCCACTTCGGTATGACGTGATGCCTAATTTCCTGGTTGTACCAAAATTGCGAGTATGCAAGTGATCGTCAAGCCTGTCCCCTGTACAGTAGCCGTCTTGCCTTGCTACGCCTGGTTCTGACTCTGCGTTCTCGTATACTCTATGCAATGTTACAAGGAATACTGCTCCCTTCTCAATCAATTCATTGGCAACAAAACGCTCGGCTATGCCCTGTGACTTTGCTGTGCGGTTTGTGCTTTGTCAATGTTGTGTACCAGTTCATGATCTGTGCTTGCTGGTCTGTTTGTTTTCTCTCGCACAATTGAGGCGCTGTAGCACAGTCTCGATCATCCTGCCCAGGCTCTGATTTCACGTACCACAGTACGGTTTCTCTTGTTGCTCACTGTAATGTGTATGATACAAGCTCCTTGGTACTCCATCATCACCTGGTGCTGTTGCTGCCATTGTTGGACCCTGCTGATATCCTTCTCGCAATGCCCGAACGTTGTTCCAACAAATGCACTACTCGCTCTTAGTTGTCACATTCGGTTTGGTCTCGTTCCAGTCTTTCGAATTGAGTGAGTGCGGAAACTTGTATGAAGTGGTGAAGCAAAAGCCGTGCGCCGGCAAACATTCAATGTCCGGGTGTAATGACGCACCAAGGCCCCGGGACTTGCGTTCAATTCCTGAGTGATTTTTGTGTACCTAGCCTCTAGGTATCATACCATATTTGTTTGGTTCAACCGTTTTGGATGCCCACTGCAATACCATTCACTGTATTATGTGTGTATGCTATCCAAGAAATCTCCCATATTTTTGGGTGGACAAACCTCGCCATAAGTCAGTAACCTGGCATTTTGCACCAACAGAACTCCTAGGATATCAGCCCCGTCTCAGTACCTGGGGACAGTTGTAAAGAAAAAGAAAAAATACCCTTGGCCCACAATGCCCCACTAAATAATCCGAAGGGTGTCGCGAAGACGACAATTTTCTTACCTTTCTTTCGTGGACGAAAAAAGACACTTCGCTTCGTCCGTTGCGCATGAAACGAAACATGAGGGTAGTGTTTATCAATTAGAATAGGTATCATGCACGAAGGAATGGCGAAAAGGTACTATGCTCGAGCGCTGGTCGTCGTCTTGTTTGTCAATTTTGAGTCCCATTGAGAATTTTCTCATTCAGACCCCTCAAATTTCCCGCGGTTGCAAATAAAAGTGCAACTTCTAGACGACTTTTTTGAATTTGGCGCACGGACTGTGTAATGTATTTTTTGTTTGTAGTTTGTACACACTTGCCAACCACTCCGCGATCCGGAGCTCCGCGAATCGGCCCTGTCTGGTTGCAACAGGTCTGTCTGTTTTCGGAGTGCGGTGTGTCCTCACAGGACCTCAGCCTTGTGGTGTTCTGCCACTATCATACCTTGTAATTGTACACACTTGTAAATTGTAGTTGAGGGTATTATTGATATCTTTTAGTAACATAGAGAGCCTGTTGATCTACGCGTTTGTAAGCATTGGATTAATTGTAAACAAATCGCGTTGTACCATGTTGTACCGAACGTGAATTTGGCACCACTACAAGGATGACGACCCTTTGGGAGAAGGATCAGGACGCTGAAAACCCGAACGTGAATTTGGCACCGTTGACGGCATGCGTGGATGACAATGATCACTTGCAAATTGGTGGATGCAGTGTGCAATCTCTCGTTGAACAACACGGCTCGCCCTTGTACATAGTTGACGAAAGGACAGTGCGCCAGTCATGCCAGGCATACAGAGCGGCCTTGTCAAAGTACTACCCAGGCAAATCTCAGCTTTTCTACGCGTCCAAAGCCCATTGCTCATTGGCTGTGGTTAGCTTGGTGTACAGCTGCGGAGCTGGTGTAGACGTTGTCTCGGATGGTGAGCTGATGACGTGCATTCGAGCTAACATTCCCGGCAAAGACATTATTTACCATGGCAACAACAAATCCTTGGAGGAAGTTCAACTGGGTGTAGAGCATGGTGTGACGTTCGTCTTGGACAATTGGCATGAACTGAACTTGATTCAGCAGGTAACGGAGAAGCTGGGCAAAACAGCCAATGTGTGCGTACGACTAACTCCGGGCATAGAGTGCCACACACACGAGTATGTGCAGACGGGTCATCTCGATTCCAAGTTTGGCTTTGACCCGGACCAAGTAGACGAGCTGCTTCAGCGACTCCTAGGTTTGCAGGAACGCATTGAACTGGTCGGCTTCCATGGCCACATTGGCTCGCAGATATTTGAGCTGCAGCCTCACCGAGATTTGGCCACATTCATGGTTGGTGCTGTGCTGAAGAGTCGTAAGATGGGCTTCACCACAGTGCGCGATCTGAACATGGGCGGTGGTCTCGGAATCCGATATGTGCCAACTGATGACCCACCAAACATCGACGCGTGGGTGCGTACGGTGTGCGAGGCAGTCGTCCACGAGTTCAGCAAGTGTGGCAGCGACAGCGGCTGTGATAGCTCCTTGCCACGACTGATCTGTGAGCCGGGACGCTCCATCGTGGGCACGTCGTCTGTCACGGCCTATCGTATCGGCAGTACCAAGTCAGTGCCTGGCGTGCGTCAGTATGTGTCCGTGGACGGAGGCATGAGCGACAACCCGCGCCCGATCACGTACGAGTCGAGCTACACGGCTGTGCTATGCCGGTCGGCCACGGCACCGGGAGTTGACGACGTGCGCGTCACCGGCAAACACTGTGAAGAGGGGGATATACTGTTGCGCAATGTCAGCCTACCCGAGCATCAAGCGGACGATGTTCTGGTTATGCTGGCGTCTGGTGCCTATCACATGTCCATGGCATCCAACTACAATCGTGTCATGCGCCCGGCAACCGTGCTTCTCACTGGCGACGGCAGCGTGGACGTGATTCAGCGACGGGAAACCTACGATGACATCCTCCAGCGTGATGTAATACCCGAACGGCTGGCGAAGGCGTGTGCCACGTAACTGGAAAATCATAGCAGTCTGCCGCGAGAATGCTCAGCCGTGATGTGATGCTGTAGCCTGTAGTGCAGTAGTGTACATGTGTGATGTCAGTGCTGGGTCTTGCATTGCTGTGTTTGTTCCAGTCCAGTACTCTCGTGCAGTGCACAAAGTGGTTTACTGAACTCAAGAAATCATGGCTCTGCTTGCAAGCTCTGCGTGCGCGCGCTTGTGTGTGTGTGTGTGTGCGCGCGCGCGCGCGCGCGTGTGTGTGTGTGGGTGCATGCGTGTGCAATTGAAGATGGTCATTCCAGCATCTGCAGTGTCTCAATCACAAAGCACTTGCCAGACTATCGATAGCATCTTTCTTATAGGGCAAATGTATTGTCTCTAGCTCGCTTTCCCGTTGACTTGGTACTCAGTATACATCTTGCGTGGATTTGTCATTTTAGTTTTTAGCTGGAGCTTGAAAGTATTTATTTTTCTCGTCCTCAACTTTTTCCCCGGAAATATTCTGCTCTGGGTGTGGTGTACGTGTGTCTGTGCTCTGAGCAGAGCAGAGTGTGGTGTGAGCAGCTCACACCACACCAACCTACATTGTATGTTCGCCTTCTTTCTAGCTTCTAGTCCTCTACTGTACTTACCCCTTACCCCTCCCCCCCCCCCCCCCCCCCCGGGACCCCGTGCAGCATCATTGACGCCGAGACTTCAGATCGGCAGCTATGCTCAAAACTTATCAGTGGCACCATTGATCCTGCTGAACCAGAAGCTACACATCCTTTACAGTGTATAGGAGTATTTACATTGTTA